TTCCAGACATGGCAGGCAATAAAATACCTGGTTATTTACCCATGCCACAGGGCCTTCTGCAGCCCTTGAGCTGCACCACCAGGTTATCCTGCATGGGAGCCTGAAGATAGGACGTGACTTGAACCAAGGGGCTCCTTCAAAAGATGTTGACTGCATTGACACGCCAGGAACAGTGTCCTCGGGCATCCTGCTTGCAATCATTTCATTGTCATTATGCTGTCAAGCATGTTTGAGGGATTAAATGAATATACCTGCTGTGACAGGCATGGCAATATTAGTGATGCAGGCAGCACAGAGCTGCCAGCCCAGCTGCGTTGGGCCTCATGTTTCAGGAGAACAGAGGAGTCAGCGGTGAAATCAGAGCTCATCACTCAGGGGATGCGAGCAATCAAGTGAACGGTGGCATTCAGATCAGGCCCTTGTTTGAGTGGCTTAGCACAGGAATTTGGCCTGATGACTTGGCCTCCTCTGCTCTGTGTTTTTCATCAGTAAAATGGAGCTCAAGGACTTAATTGCAACCCCAAATGACAACCCGAAGTGCGTCATCCTGAATACACAATGCCATGCTCAGGGCTGCTGCCATTGCCCACAGAGCACCAGTCTGACCCCCTTCACTCTGGTGTAGGACAGGAACTACTCCAGTGAAGGCAAATGCATTAATTTGCTCAAAATAAGATTAAGTGGCATACCTGGGTGTGTTAGGCTTTTAGATGTGTTTGAGGATGCTGAATTTGGACTCCAAAACTCTATACAGAAATCAGGCCAAATTCTGATCCCACTTGCACCAGTCAGTCCACTTCAGTGACTCCTGAATTACACCAGCGTGAAACTGGAATTTGCCTTTGGAATAGTTCCTTTATCTTCAGCCTGCAACTGTTTACTCCCTTTTTATACCACTGAGACATCAAACCCCTCTTGTTAATTAGTCACTCTGTATTTCGGTGATTAAATTATTAAACAATTAATAGTAAGTATTGAGCAAGTAAAATACAAAAATTAAATTATGTTCTCAAGGTCTAGAGGTACAAGGTTCAATGTTAACATTAGGCTGTAGATATTTTTATTCAGCTGGGAGCTGTCTTTCTCTGTGACCCTCTCATAAGCAGGGAGAAATGAGAATATGACCACATTTAAGGTTTGAAAAAGAGCAGTAAAGACATTCTTGGCTGGTGCAGAATTTCAGGGCATTAACTTGAAACTCTTTGTTAAAACCAATGGTATATATGTGGTAGCATCGTTACTGCAGTTATGAAATGGAGAAGAGATCCCAAAAAAGTCCAGGAGACAAAATGCCTGAATATTTTATTTTATTTTATTTTATTTTATTTTATTTTGTTTTGTTTTGTTTTGTTTTGTTTTATTCTATTTTATTCTATTTTATTTTTTTCTATTCTATTTTTTTCTATTCTATTTTTTTCTATTCTGTTTTTGCCTAGGAAGCAGTTATATTTTTCTTGAGGTAGGTGTTACTGGAGAACAAATGTTTTGTACATTAATCAGCAGATTGACTTCTTTCTCAATATCCCACTTGGCTCCCATTCAGCTCAGCAGCAATGAGGCCGGGTGGTGTCTGTGTCACAGGGCTATGTGAGCAAAGGGATTAAAACCAAATCTCTGCTCCAATCTGATGGCAATACGGTGAGAGAGAAATTCACTTGCTGATTAATGAAAGACTGCCAGTGGTTTTTAAAAAGCAAAATGAAGTTCCAGAGAAAGCTCAGGACTGAACATCACTTGGGTCCATGGCAGGGATTAAA